CATAGAGAGGAAGTTGACCATTTTGATTGGTGAGCTGAGGCCAGGAGAGCTGTATCATTTCAAGGTTTATACCACAGCTCATGAAGTGAACAGCAAGGATGTAGAACTCTCTAGCAGAACAAGTGAGTATCCTTTGAGTGGCTTCTCTGTATAGAGAGTCCTGTTTTCAGAATATCTAAAAAGATCCAGTTAGATCATTCATTTGGTTTATGTCATGCTTATGAGTTATTTATGTGTAGGTAGAGCAGAATTCCAGATTAAAATGTATAGGATATATTAACCTTGTTTTTTACTTTAAGAAATAAATCACAGTCTCAAGCAAAAATATATTTAATGTATTTTTATTTTCAGTGCCCGTCATCACATCAGATATAACTATTGTAAATCAGCTAGAAACTAGATCATTCACTATCAGGTATACTCCAACTCCGCGCTCTGTAGCAACTTTTGATACATACAGATTCATGCTGTCTGACCCATCTATACCTGTTAAGGAAAAGTCAGCAGTTGATGACGATCGTAAGGTAAATAAAAAAATATTTTGCTGTCTGCTGGCATGCAACAACAGAAAGATTATAGATTTTAAAGTAGGTGTCGATATTTTCATTTGATACATTTTGAAATTCTTTGATGTATAATCACCATGAGGTGTTTTAGAGCTAATTATGCAATCCTAATTTTATTTTTCCAGATAATATTCAACGGACTAGTGCCAGGTCGCTTGTATAACATTACAGCCTGGACAGTGTCAGGTGGTGTAACTAGTCAGCCACTCATACGCCAAGATCGACTGTATCCTGAACCTGTCTCAAATATCAATGCTTCATACATATCAGATACTGAAATTACTTTATCATGGAAAAAGCCAAATGGGGATTATGATTCATTTGAGGTATGTAAGGTTTTCTCCCTTGTTTTAAATTCAAGGATGTCTGTCAACTCTTGTCATATGTAGGATACTTTGTTATTAGCATACTTACATCAAAACTTTGATTATGTATGTGTTTATTTTATTTTGTCATGATGAATGGCTTTAGGGGGCTTTTCTAGATACCTTATTGCCCTATTATTGCTTAAAATGTAATCAAATACTGTTGTAATTTGCAGATGTTAATCATTTTCCCTCTTGTTTCCTACAGGTTCAATATCTCCGTGATAACGAGCTCTTTACCAATAGCACAAAGCAGGATTCCATTACCATCACAAGACTGCGACCACATCGCAATTATACTTTTACTGTCCTTACTAGAGCTGGAAGCACTAGGAAGTCAAAACCTGTGTCTGCAGCATTCACAACAAGTGAAAGCACTCCTGGGAAGGTAGAATAATGTATCCCTTTATATAGTTCCTTTTCATTTCTGTGCAGATGTTTTCTTCAATGTTATTTTTTCTGCTGGTCTTTTCTTACTGAGTTATTCTGGAAGACTGATACGATGAATGAAAGCTAGTTTCTATCCTTTTAACTTTAAAGACAAAATATGGCAATTGACCCATTGTATATGTGCACATTGGACAAGACACAGCAAAAGTCATCCAGAAAATTTTTAAGATTGTTCATAGTATGAATAGCGAAATTACAATGATTTGACCTGAAATAATTTTTTATTGAAATATATAAGAAATAATTTTTCCTCTCCTATGTATGCATGCAACGTCTTTTAGGGATTGATGAACTATGAATTCTTAGTCATTTTAGATACTCCTTACATTCCAGTGCACAGGGATTGGAAGCATAAAAGGGATCACTAGAAATATTTGAGGAGGATATAGTTTGTAATATGGTTATATATATTTGTATGTGCAATGAATGATATGTAATTTCTCTCTACACACAGGTTGATGAATTTGAACCAATTGAAATAAAACCAAACCAAGTCACATTTAGGTGGTCATTGCCCCCTGATGAGCAAAATGGTGTTCTTTTAGGCTTCAACATTAAATATGGAATCAAGGTGTGGTATTCTTGCCATTTTTAGAACTTTTATATTTAAACTGAGATTTGAATTTGAAATATAGTACTTATGCTTAATACTAAAGTTTAAGAACAAAGGACTGTCTTATACTTTATATTTTCTTTTTTCCAGGATACTACTCCAACAAATGTAAGACATTTTGAGCCTGATGAACTGCTTGGTGTAATCCCGAATCTTATCCCTGGAAAAACTTACTCCTTCCAAATAGAAGCCACAACAAAGATTGGTTCTGGACGCATAAAGTATTGGGAAGGAACCATGCCTGTTTGGTGTAAGCTTTCTGTCTTTATTTCTCTTTCCTAGTCCAGTAATTTACCCATTGATGCCAGGTAATGGAACTAACTATCCAGTATAGTTTAATTTTATCACTTTTTCTTATGTATAGACAGCTTTGCAAATGTTTTGTCACCAAAGAGTCAGGTACTAAACATGTTTGACTACCCCCCATTCCTGATGATAGTGGATAGGGCATGTTCACTTGTAATCCTGGTGGCAGCCATTTAGGATATTAATCAGTGGTTTGCATACTGGGTTACATCTCAGAATTACTAGATTTCTCAATGTGAACAAAGAAATATAATGAAAACAAATTTTGAAAATGTTATAGAAACTTTCTTGCAATCATGTTGCATATTAAAGCTTTGCATGAATTAAAGCAGAAGTCTCATGTGACAATTATATTTTTGCCAATTTTTTTTTTTTTGAAGTATCAAGTTGATTTATTAATTTTTACAGAGGTATGTGTACATTTAATGGGTCCAAAGAATTAGATGCAAAGAGTTGTGCTATGTTTTATTTAAATTGTATATTTTTTTATAGTACTTCGTTCCATAGTAACTTTATATACTTTTGTCATACCTAATGATTCAAGAAAATTGTCTCTATCATTTGGAACTAACCAAAAATTTCTTTTTCAGCACCTCCTCGGCCAAGCAGTCAGGTTTTCCCAACAGAAGTATCCCGTACCTCAACTACTATTCGTATTCGTTACCGAAAGAATTATTTTTCCAACCAAAATGGGCAAGTTGTTGGATACACTATTGTTGTTGCAGAAGATGATACCAAGAATTCAGAAGGGCTTGAGTTACCTGCCTGGCAAGATGTTCAGAGCTATTCATTCTGGCCGCCTTATCAGGTAAGATTTTATTTATTTATTTTTGCTCCTTGATACATCAGCATAGTCGTCTGATATATAGAACTATTCATTGTCTTCACTTTGTTGTTCAAATTGTTGTCAACAAATAAGATTTTCTTCATGTGCCAAATATTATATATGGTGACACTTTCATTTTAATTCAAAGTCTTTAAAATGTGTTTAATTTTGATGTGTTCTCTTTTTTTCTAGATTACAGAAATGTACTATCCATTTAATAAAACATCAGTGGAAGATTTTGATATTGGCATTGAGGAGGACTGTGATACTCATGTTGGTTATTGTAATGGACCACTTAAACCAGGAACTACGTACAGGGTTAAAATACGGGCTTATACAGCAAGGACTAAGTTTGCTGACACATACTTCAGTCATCCAATTACAACAGGTAAGTTGCACATATTAGACTACCAAGGTTAATGATTTTCATATGCATTTTATGCTGCCATGATTGATATATTTAGATGTCATATTGATTTTCAACAAATATATATTTTGGAAAGAATGCTTGTTACATCAAGATTTGTTATCACAGTTATTACTAGAAAAGAACTAGATTCTGTCTAGAGCCTGCAGTTTTATCTTTTGATTGACAGTCCATTTAAGAGAAGGATCGTTTTACAGATTCAGAGAGTGGGAATGTAGGATTAGCAGTTGCAATCCCAGTCCTCCTCCTGGTGTTGATTGTAGTGATGATAATGATCATAAGAAGACGAAGAGCTTGTGGATTCACAAAAAGGGCTCCAGATCCAGGCAGTGACATGCATTCGCTTCCAGATTCTATTATAGAAACAAGGTATGTTATGCATCTACCTGTCAGATGCTACAAAGTAGAATTATTTTGTGAACTATTAATGTAAATACCTAATGATGTATGAATTTTACTCTTATTGCCTTTAAGCTTGTTAAATTTATCCAGTCAAGTGATAGCAAATTTCTTGGTTGATCAAATGTTCTAACCACTCACTTATTAAAATCATGATTCCACTTTTCGAATGTTTTATATTTTGGTGTCTTCCAATTTTAAGTTATATTTCTTTTGAATGGAATTATGTAAACATGTTTGCTTATGAAACAAAATTTATGGTAACTAGTGATATACATTAATTGCCAAGAGAAGAGAGAACTCTTTGATAACCATATATGAGTTATCTAAAAATAAGTGAGCTGACAAGTTAAGTTTAACATAAGCAAAGGAAGCAACATCTTGGTATGAAAGAGAAAAAAGGTTGATTGTTTTTTTTCTCTTTGTTTCTTGAGAATATGAATCTAATAACATAAGGAATATATTATTAGATATATACAGGATGATGCATTTGATATGAGTTGAACTTTATTGATTTAGGCGTGTTAATGTATCACTCTGTTAACAAGCAATAAGACTTTTTATTTTGTTTATCCACAGCCGTCCTGTGAAGTTGCAAGACTTCGTAGCACATTATAGATTTATGTCTGCAGACTCAGAGTACCATTTCTCAGAAGAATACGAAGCGCTCAGTCATGTTGGATGTGATCTCCAGCGCAATGCTGCATATATGTCTGTCAATCGCCCAAAGAATCGTTTTACAAATATTTTGCCTTATGACCATTCTCGCTTCAAATTGCAACCCACAGATGATGAAGAGGGGTCTGATTACATCAATGCAAATTATGTACCAGTAAGTTATATAAGAAGTGTGATTTATGAAGTACCTTTGAAGAATTATGTAAATGGATATCAGATATTATGCTCTAGTGTTAATGGCATTGTTTAAATGCAAACATAAGGAAAAACTACTTTAGATAAATAGTATAAACATTTTACTGTCATGTTATTTTATATCAATCTGCAGCTGCTAGTTTAACTATGCATATGTATTCTTTATATATGAAAAACAAAATTAAATTTTGTGCTATAAAATATTTTGAAACAAAATTGATGCTGTTTTTCAAGTGAGCTGTTAATAAGATATTAGAGTCATATTCACTGCATTTTAGATTGTTAAATTTAGATGGAAATGTGTTAAGTATGTAAGCCACATTACTAATAAAAGATGTTGCTAAAAAAAATTATGATAGTATCATATATTTTTTATTAATTTTATTGTATACCTAATAGAGAGAGAGAAGCTGTGGTGATGTTAGTTAAATTATTAGGAATTTATACTGTGGATGCAAAAAGTATGTTCTCTGTCAAAAAAATTAAAAGAAATATGAAATTATTAGTCAGACTGGTATAAAAGAATATAATAATAAAGAAATATGATTGACAAAAAATAGAACAGAACTAGACCAATATGCATGTGTATATTACATATACTATTATTTTTTCTTTCTTTAGGGTTATAATTCCCCAAGAGAGTTCATAGTAAGCCAAGGTCCTCTTCTGTCCACACGAGATGATTTCTGGAGAATGTGCTGGGAAAGTAATTCTCGTGCTATTGTGATGCTGACACGCTGTATTGAAAAGGTACAGTATTTATTATTATTATTATTATTATTATTATTATATTATTATTATAATTAATTATTATTATTTTTGTGTATATGTGTGTCTGCATGCATGCACAATTTTGTGTGTGTGTGTGTGTGTGTGTGTGTGTGTGTGTGTGTGTGTGTGTGTGTGTGTGAGAGTGAGTGTGGAGAGAGAGAGAGGAGAGAGAGAGAGAGAGAGAGAGAGAGAGAGAGAGAGAGAGAGAGAGAGAGAGAATCTTTTGTATTTAGAATTGGTAAATATTATTTTTTCATATAATATGGTTACTGATTTAAGAAAACCATATCACAGGGTCGTGAAAAATGTGACCATTACTGGCCCTACAACACGCAACCAGTTCGTTACGGAGATATACAAGTGACTATCCTCAATGAGAGTCGCTTCCCAGACTGGACCATCTCAGAATTCAGAGTTTGCAAGGTGAGTCTCAATTTTTGAAAATTGCCAGAATCAAAAGTGCAACTATTGTAAGTTTTTCTTGTTACATGTGTATTATTAGAAATTACAGTTTCAAACACAATGTCTCTTGATTCTTGATCTATGGCCAAAAATTTGCCAAGAGTTTTTTGGATTTGAGCTTATTAATGTTCTATCTTGCCTTTGAAATAGTAAGTACTTTAAGGCTACTCCTCTTTCTCTTTCGCCTTTTATGCACTATCACTATTTATATTGTAAATATTCTTACTGTTTTTGCAAATTATTATGATAAATTAATGGTGGTTTCATAAGCTGTTTATTATTTGTAGGGCTCCTAAGTCCTCTGTTTTCTGTAGTGACTACTTCTGATCTCCACAGATTTGTTATTTGTATACATTTTAGTGCCCTTTCATTACATGATAACTAATAGGTACCAATGGTTATTCTCAGAACAGCTTTGAAATCATTTAGATTTTTGTATCATATGCATTAATTGATAATAGTAGTGATAATAGTTAAAACAAGTATAATATTGATAGCTCATAATAGTTTGTAAAAACTTGCATAATGCAGGAAATATGTGAATCCTCCATCAGTAATGTATTGTTGCTGATAAAAAAGTAATAGTAATAATTCTGTGTAATTAGTTTATTTGGCTTTGTCAATGTTAGTGAATATTAACCCACTTCTGCTGGGTACATGTAGGCAACTGTTCACTTTCGTTTTGTTTTGTTGATTTTGATTAGAAGGCTCCACAAGTGCTCAGTCACCAAAGAACGTATTAATAGGCCCCATGTAACCTCACCTGATTTCATGATTTCTTGAATTTTTGGGGGATTTTTTTTTTTCCAAATGCTGTTGCTATCAATACTCAACTTATTATTGACACTAAGATTATTGTAATTTTATTGAAATACTTATAATAATAAAAGATAAGGAAGAACTTTTCTAAAAATCAAAGAAAGAATAAGTAAGTTACATAGGAATGACTGGTAATTGATTAAAGCAGTTTTGGAGCCATCTATGCAAAAATACAATAATAAACAAAAATTATAATGGACATGATGCATTTCCCATCCTTGGCAGCAATGGGCTAACTTGTAACAAAAACTTACTTTCTTTAACAAAGAAGTTTGCAAGATTTATTATAAGCTGATTTTATTTTCAGGGAGATGTTTGTCGTGTGGTTCGGCACTTCCACTTCACAACCTGGCCAGATTTTGGTGTCCCTGACCCACCACAAACGCTGGTCAGATTTGTACGAGCTTTCAGAGAAAGAGTTGGTCCAGATCAGAAGCCAATTGTTGTGCACTGCAGGTTAATATTTTTCTTTTCATGTTCAGACAACTCTTTGGAAAGGAAAATAAGAATATTTGAAAGAGGAGACAGTGTAACATCAACCATTTTATTCAGAGGATTTTTCCTATGAGGTATATTTTGTTCTAAATCTTTTACTTAAAATTCCATAGTATAGATATTATTTTATTATTTCAGTGCTGGTGTTGGGAGATCTGGAACTTTCATTGCCCTGGACAGGATATTATTCAGCATTCGCACATCAGACTATGTGGATATATTTGGTATTGTCTATGAGATGAGGCGAGAAAGAGTATCTATGGTACAAACTGAGCAGCAGTATATATGCATCCACCAGTGCCTTCTAGCTGTTTTAGAAGGAAGAGAAAATGAACACCCAGTACATGAAATTCATGATAATCAGGGTTATGAAGGTAAGTTGCTTCTGGATAGTTTGTGAAATATACTTGCATATGCATTTCTTATGATAATTTTCTTTTGATTAATGATTAATTCTTATAGATTAATGAAAGAGGATCAATTTTGCTCATGAAAATATATTCATTTAGGTAGTGTTTATATAAAATAGTTTCTTGTTAATGAAATTCTATCACTGGCTTAGGGCTCAATGGAATGGTGGTGTCAGGAAAGTCACTGCTGCAAAGATGATTCTCTTTACCTCTGCTTCCAATAGCTATGGTTATTGGGCAACAGTCTGTTGGAACTTTTTATTCTTTTTGGTAATTGCTGGATTCTTGCACATATGAGTGTGACTACACATAATTGATTATTAATGCCTGTCTTTAAATTTGTAGTCAATTCTATGGGCCTGTAATTTATGCTGCATTAGTTTTGATGTGGAATCCATTTGTATTGGCTATTGATTTGCATAGTTCAAATTAGTATTAGCTACTTCGAAAAATTGATTTTGATTATATAAGTCTTTCCAGTAAGAGAGCCAAAAAGCTGAATAACAGTTCTTAATGTTTCTTCTATAGATATAGGATATTTTACATCAGTAGTAAATAATCAGTGAATATTACTTGCACCAGGAAATTAACTCCAAAAATGTAATTATGCATGATAAATACTACTCGAAGTGATTAATAATCTGAAGAATATTTGATGTTGATATGTAATGTTGTTATCCAGTGATTGAAGATAGTATGCATTAAATTAAGGTATTTAATTAATGGAAAATGTTCTTATTCTGTCTTGGAGGTCTGGTATTAAAATGCTTTTGTGACTACGCTAAAAGCATGATCAGAACTTCCCAATAGAGTTGATTTGTTGTTGTTTCTTTAAATAATGGACCATCAGAATGTAAACAACCCCCATCAGTTTGACCTCAGATCATCAGAACTGTTGAAAAAAGTCTGTAGATATAAGATGGGAGGGAACCCTTGACACCAGGCCTCAGAGATAAAAAAAGAACATTTTTCATTCATAAAAGCTCTTTATTTTCTATCTCTGGTGTGGTATTAAGATGCTTAATAGGAGGTAAATATTGGGCATAAAACTGGTAGAATGAAAGGGAAAGAGGTACTAGTAGTACCCACATTGAGATGCCTGGTTAGGTGGTGTAGTTATTGCCACACAGGGGACATCTTTTGGATGTGGTGTCGTATATTGATTCACAAACTCTCTGCATGAAGACCCACTAATCTGCTTTTTTCACCTTTCCAAGATTTAGAGTTTTTAAAAATGTACGACTGGTAGCTTGGATCAGCAGATTCAAGTATCCTTCTTATTATATTTGCCACATTTAGTTGGGAGCACGGCCTATGTGAATCTGGCTACAACCATAGTGGGTAACAAGAATCTGCTTCAGTATAACATTTTAAAGCAGCTACTGAGCATAAAACATGAGATGACTCATTTTCTAACCATGATGGAATTACTACAGATTCCAATACATGTCTCTGCTGTCCCTTACCCCCCACCCTCCCAGGAAATGAGGATGAAAAGTAAATAAGACATATGAGTTATCTGGTCAAACTGTGTCAGAGAAGGGGATGGTGATAGGGCTGCCAGGTGAGAAATGCTTAGACTTGTGCAAAAGCAATAAGGAATGTTGCTTTGTGAAAACCATCCTGAGGAGATGCATCTACAGAGTACCGGTATGATGAAAGGAGATCCATAACTTACTGCAGAGTCCATAAAGGAATTTTACTACGAGTTGGAGAAATGACCTATGAAGCAATTTCATGGATCTTTCATCCTTTTCCATTCCAAATGTGTATGTTAGTGGATCAGTGCTGCTATATGAAATGAAATAGTAGGAGGTGAATGGAATATATAAGACAAAAACTGAATATGTTTGGAGATACAGAGGCAGGCCTTGTTTTTCTGATGATTCTAAAAAAATTTAATCATGCTGATTGATACTGTCTAATGGTGTAAGGTTAATGTCCTTTGATAAGGTTGTGTACTTATAAAGGCTGGAAAGACTTACTTAAGGCTGTAAATAGAAACTCCATGTACACCGAGGTAAATACTCTATGAAACAGTCCATCAGTTTCCTGAAGCACCTGACACTGGTAGTGGATGAAGACTTCAGTGAAGATCTGGTGTCCATGGTTGTGCTTCCCACAATGGGAAGTTCAGTAAAACTGCTTTTGTATGTTCTCAAGTGGTTGATCACAGGTGTATTGACTGCCTCTTTTTTGTCATGTATCCCTTGATTCTGTAATTAGAGTGAGACAGAAAGTCTGATCTGGGACTGAATGTAATTTTGTGTGAGCTTCAGAAACAGTTTTTGATCCAGAGCCCACTCAACTTAGAATGTAGTCTGATGTGATTATACATCTTCCCACTGATTTTTTTTTTCTCCCTTCGAGATTAGACACAGTTAGATGAAGTGAATGTTGCTTCTTAGTATGAAAAAGAATCTCTGATGGTTGTAGGAGAGTAATCAAACAGAAGGAGCCTTGAGGGTCTGTGGGAATATTCCAATAAGCATTTATTAACTCAACAGATATACTTGAGCCACATACACCGCCTGAAACTGGTATGGTTAAATTTACTTGTTCAATCAGCTTGTATCACAGAGGAGTCTGGACTGATGAATCCTTCTTTGGTATGTCAAATAATTGGTCTAGAAATGCTTTTTTCTTGTTTCCACTACTGAATCAGCTAACAGCTTGTTGATTCTTTATAAGATTGAAGCTGAACATTTCTGAAGGAAAGGAAACCACAGTAGAGGAGGAGATTCTCTTGCTACTTGCTACTGAAAGCCCAAGGAAATAACCCATTTAGTCCATCCTGTGGGCCATGACTCCTACCAACCCAGGAGTCAGCCCAACTTTAGAGAGTCACTTTTTCTCTAGACAAAAAAAAATCTGGGAATTCACCCAGCTATGACCAAGAGATTTCTTTTATTTTTCATGTATTTATCATTTTGAAAAACTTGTGAAGTCAAAGAGCACTTAAGAGAATTAGACCTGGACTTAAATTTTAGAAGTTGGTTGTGTGGGATGTGATAAACAGAAATAGTTGCAAGGACTCTTAACATCCATAAGTTGTGGCATCTTTCTAATCAGAAATCAAACTATTTGTTCATCTCCACATGGAAGATGATGATGTGGTGTATTACATGAGATCTGATTGCACCTTCCCTTGAGTTTGCGTCAAAAAACATATTTTTACTAATGCTGTCAGTACTGATGCTGTTATTCTCATTATAGACATCATGATTATTATAAAGTTATTGACATTACTAACAGCATTATAAGATGTTACAAAATATTTCCAAAAATTAAGGAAAATGGTTAACAGGTTAGGAAATTAATAGAACTCATAATTGGCTCATTTGTAACCTAGTACTTGTGGAGTCATTTATGTGTAAAGACAATCAATAAAATAATATTGCAATGGGCAATGCATATATGCAGATGCCATCACCAGCAGCTTCCAAGTTGATTGATTCTTAGTAATTGCACATTCATGTAATTCTGATCTTTTTACCACTACTTCTTGATGTGACTTTGCTAGAGGAATAATTGAAGTCAAAACATTTTTCTAAATTTTTACATAGAGGTGGTGAATATCATGAGTAAAATTTTTAATGTAGTTTGGTGAAGCATGTGCTGTTCTGTGTTTGGGCTATTGTCCAGCTCATGATTGGACTAATGAGGCATCATCCCAGTTGCATCACCTGATTAGATATCACCTGGCATCAGTGAAATTTTCATCAAGACTTGATGGGAGATCAGCCAGCATGATTGTGCTAAGATGCAAATGCAAATGGAATAAATCAAATAGTTTAGTAAAGTTTGTAAAACTGATATCAGGAAAGTGGTCGAGGTAGTGATGATGAACAACATTTTATAATTACTGAGCATATATTAAAGGTATTGTCAAGGTTGTATGTGTTTTGGAAGCATGTATAGCATTGTAACACATGTAATGAATATTGCTTTCCTTACATAGAATCTACATTTTTAAAAGCTATTTTCATATTTTAAAATAAAGTAGTCATAAATGCCTTTTGATAATGATGCAATTTAAGGTTACTTTGAATAAAATAATTGCATGTTTTTTTTTTTTCAAAACTATGGCTCAGAATAACACCAATAAAGGATTTAGAAACCTGATGTACATATATGTCATGCTTAGTAGCCCATTGGGTCTGATGAATTTAATTGCTTTAGAAAAAGTTGTAGAAGCTTGAGCTTTGTACTAATACAAAATGGTTTATAGTTATGAAGTAGGTATTTTACCTTTTCCAATATTAGCATAACAACACAGATGAAAATATAGACCATGGATAAGAAAAAGAAAGATAATAGCATTTATATACTTGAAAAAAAAAAAAAAAAATATGGTGAATATTTAATACCTTTTTTTTGAAGGTTATATATTTTTTTCTTCTTCCACAGATGATGAAGGGATAGTGGAGTCGGGTATGTGACAGGAGGCGTATGGGTTGCAACCACTTGCAGCCTATACTAAAATATGGAAATGACATGAGTGTTGGACCAGACAGGTCTTGAAAACTTGCCAGAAGACGAAAACAGTTAAGGAAGTTAGGGAAAGTTGTATTTTTTATAAAAAATGATTTCAACTACTTCTACTCAACTACCTTATCAGATGAAACTTGCATTCTTTTTTTTAGCCATGTTTTTCACTTAGATCCTAATGGTTAGGTGTCTGTATTTAATTTACTATTATTAAAATTTACTGATAA